CAAGTACATTTACTTCATTACAGTACAGTACAGTAGTTTTTTTGAGGATTTGTAATTTTACCAATAATTTTTTAACAGCTACTTTTATTTTTATTTTGTTACATTTTAAAGCTAAAACTGATACTTTTACTTCTTTACTTTAAAATGTAACACCTAGTTACTCATTACAAAATAAAATCTGCTCAAACTCATCATGAAAGACGTTTCTGCTCTAAAAAATGAAGTGTTGTATTTACTCAAAAAAGTCATGTCAACTGGCTCCACTAAGCCTAGTTGAGTATGAACCTGGTTTAGTGGAACCAGTTTGGTTCAGTAAATTCAATAGTTTATTTCTTAGAGTGTGTAAAAGTACTTTTACTTTTACTTTTCCAATTTTTGTGAACAATTTTATGACTTTTACTTGAGTAGTTTTCTCATCAATGAAATTTATTTTTACCAGTCCTTTTCTGTTCATGTATTTTTACTTTTACTTAGTTATTTTATTCAAGTACTTTATAGACCTCTGTTAACAACACAACCACTTCAGACTTTATATTCTTATACTGCCAGATTTTTATTTAAAACCTACTCCTTTCTCTCGCTTCATCCACCATTACTAGCATAAAAAGATTTCTGGTCGGCCCTTCAATCCAGGCAAAAGAAAGACGCATTAGTCGACCGCATCGGAGGAGTCTTCAGATTTGGACAGCCTCCGGCGCGGCGCCGTGATGTAAGCGGCCAACGAATTCGGCCTTCGGAGGACCCGGCCTCTGAGTTTGGACACAGTCATAGTTTCACTTAAGTTAACTTGCTTTCTAGAACAAATCTTCTTTTCCCTGAACTCAGGAACAGAGTTATCATTAAACCCAGTTTCTGAACTAGTCCTCTGTTTGAGGACCTTTGCTCTACCTCTGGGAGTGTACGTGAAACATTTTGTCTGACAAGTACCATACAGCAGAGGTTCTCAAACTGCGGTCCCAGGACCCCCAGGGGTCCACGAGCCATATCTTGGGGGTCGTCAAAAAAATTGTTTTTTATTTTTAAAAATCATACAGGGAGTAAAACAAACACACTAAATCAAACCAAACAAAAATATTCCCATGTCATTTAGGGGTTAAAATGATAACATGGGGTTTATGATGGGGTCCCTGGAAATTGTTCAGTCTTGTTAGGGGTCCCCAGACCCAGAAAGTTTGAGAAGCCCTGCTATTTAGAACTGAATAGTTAATAAAGTTAAGCTGTATGCTGTTTTAAATATAGCTTGTGTTTTTCTGAGACCATAAAATCATGTTTTCTTGTCTACAGGTGGCCAGATGTGTACCTGGGCCTGACGACTATGGGTCAGAACATGTCCCAGTCCAGTCTGCAGAAGGCCATCAAACAGGCCTTGGCAGCAGGACTTTCTGAGCGGAGGTCCAGGAGTGGATCAGGGTTTCAACAGTCCGTGGTGACAGCAGAGCTCATGGTTCATCCAGGATACCCCAGTTATCCCCAGGAAGGAGGCTGTGGAGAGGGTCCAGATGACTTTTCTCAGTCCACTGAGCGACACCATGAGCTCAGTGTGCTCACAGACCCGTCTGTCCTGGATCTGTACCACCAGGAGAAAGTGCAGCTCTGTAGTTTTAAAGACCTTTGACCTTTGCCATCTAAATATATATATTAGTAACACTAAAACCAGACTCCACATAATAAGTTTATTTACATCCACCTAGAATGTTAAATCTTTGGTGTTTAAAATTTTCTGATCTGTCTGTGTAAAGGCCCTGTCTCACTATGCTTTAGACAACTTATGCCAACTTGTGATATTTTTGTGCCTAAATTACTAATAAAAGTTCTATATTTGATCAGTTTGTTAGCATTACAGTGTGTAMACGCCTAAAAGAAGCTTCCAGTTGATTTTGTTTATTCCATCTTTAACGTAGATGTCTTTAAAAGTTGGTGTAAAACGTCATAGTGTGACAGAGACTTTAATGGTAGACTGTACACAGAGACCTGCTTTAAAATAAAATGATTTGTGGACTTCAGTCAACCCTGTTTAGAACAGTTTTATTTATGCAGAACGTTAGCGGAAAATAAAGATTATCCATCAACACCTGAAGGACCTGTCACACTTTGACGTTTTAGACGACTTGTGCAACATCTTCTAATTTTGTCCAACTCAATGACATGCTGAAGGAGAGGAAGAAAAGCATCAACTAGCACATGATCATACCGTGTTGCTAACGGCTTAAACAGATATAAAACCCATGAGTAAATTGTCTCTACATAACAAGCTTATTATAGCGTATTTGGACTTTTGCAGAGCTTATGTGCAACATTATTGTAACTTCTTCAGAACTTTACAGCATGTTGGAGGAAATTGTGATGTCAGCAGCATCACAGTACCGTAAGTAAATTTATTTAACTTGAGTTAAACTTTGTTTATATAGCACCTTTCACAGACATGAAACATCACAAAGTGCTTAACAGAGAGCAAATAAGTAAAACTAATAAGAAGAGGGCGCATATAATCAAGAACAATAAAAAAAAAACAAAAGCTTTGTCTCCACAGGTTTTATAATGGGTTCGAGGGACCACCAGCAGCATTTGATTTGAAAACTTCAAAATCCTGGATGGACAGAAGGTGTCGATATGTTGACGACCCTGGGTTAAAATGAAAGCCCAGGAAGTCCAACATTTCACTGATCACATCAACTCTGTGGATGAATATATTAAGTTCACACGAGAGGATGTAAAAAATGGCAGGTTGGCGTTCCTGGATTGCGATGTCTCGAAGTATATTTTAGTGTTTTACAACATGGAAAAGAAATGATTGGCTCAGAATCGTAGGCAGTAAACTTACTCATGTTCTTTGGTATATTGGTATACTGGTATATTGCTTTGAATTTACTCAACTCGGTTAAGTGG